CAAGATAAAAACTCACCTCAATTTCAGAGAGGAGAAATAAGGCTCAAACTTGGTACGTAAGTTAAATTTATATAACACACAGCATAATTTTTCTTGGGGTTTAAAACAACCAGCACAATGTCAGAAATAATTCTTCTCACCAAGGAATCTACCATTCTAGACCACTGCTCTCCAAACTACAGGTCTCAACCCATCAGTGGATTGTGAAATCAATTACTGGGTCAAGATGAACACTTAAAAGAAACAAAAAGGAAAAAAAAACCACTGTCTTCACCTATAAACTCCCTTGACTACAGAGGCTATGTCTTACTCGTCTTCATCACATAAGAACATATCACAAGGCCTGGCACTGGCTTTCCATATATAGTTGATCAATGAGTCGATGGTAAATGTTACTGTAGAAACGGTGTTCACACTAAAGGTTTTTGACTACGGTCACTTTTACCTATGGTCGGCCACCAGACACTCCAATCTGGAGTAGGAAAAGTAAGGTACAGATTCAAGACCTCCAAAAGGAACTCTACTGGGAGAGGCATAGGAGCAGCAGCTAGAGGAAGAAGGATGTCCCTGCCAAAGGTACTCAGTGCCAGTGCCTTAGGAAAATCACTAGCTCCATTTTTTAATTAAAATACCAGCGTAATTTTTTATAAGTCTTCGAAATATTGTGAAGCACTGGTGACATCTGTTTTAAGGTAAACCTCAAATTTAGAAATTTTATGAGTCAGAAAGCAACAGGCAAATAGAGCAGAAGGGAGGAGAACATGCATTCAAACTATAAGCAACAAGGAACTCAAAGAGGTCAACTATGTTGAAGCACAGCACATAAAGGTAAAAGCTCTGAAATGAGCTAAGATAGGTTAGGAACCAGACAATGTAGGACCTGCTAGGTAGGCCAGGATAAGATGTTGGTCTTCCTTCTACAACTGCTGGAGAGCTAGTGAAGGATTCTGTATCTCTGTGGTGTGTGTGTGAAGAGGACAGACACAGTATTTTAGTTTTGAAAAGCTCATTATGGCTAGGTATTCAGTCTTCCATTCAGACTTCCTATTACCATTTCAATTACTTTCAAAAAACTACAATTCCTTCCTTATTAAATGCAACATTTCGGTTGTATTTTCAAAGAGAAGTGCTGCTGTGACTAATACGCATTCTGATTGAGGTGTGAGGTACTTACCATATGAGGAGGGGGCGCTGGACCCGGAGAGAAGGGAACCCTTCCCCACATTTTCATGATATCTCCAAGAGGTTGGAAGCTTTCATCACATGCCCTCTTCACCAACAAAGACATAGTAAAATACCCCGCCTGAAACCATTCCGCCATCTCCTGATTATTGAAGGGACCTAAATAGCACCAATTAAACAGAAGGGCAATAAGAATCTTTTCAGGCTCAAAGAGGAAAAAAATATTTCCTGCATCTAATCCTGATCTAGATGACAAATGTCAAAATTTGTTACATTACCTTAATTTAACTCACCTCCAAAGGTGGCAAACAGGCTTCTAACTTAAAAACAATTTTGAAATAAACCCTCTGTATACATCCCAAATTCTCAGTAGTGCTTTATCATAAAGAACATAACTGTCTCTATCTCACTCAATCCCTATAACAATTCATTTGTCAGAAAAGTATGATACAACTGAAAAGAGTTAAGTATTTGCTAGACTTAGTATCATTTAGGCATAAAAAATGTACACAGCTGAACACATTCTCCAATTTTCATTTTCTGCCACTGATTAGTGAAGGTGGGGAAAAGTATAAACAATAATCAATTAAATTAAGAAAAATTATAATTTATTTGCCCACATAAGACTAAATCTGGCCTTGGTAGGGAGAAAAA